TGAACCTCCATGTCCCTATAGAGCTGAACTATTTCCCCCTCTTCCCCTCAAGTTTACAGCCCTGCCCAGCCCTCCCTGTCACTACCAGTTAGAAGGGGTGTATGTGGATCAGATAAATGAGTATGGCAAAGGTGCTTTCCCCTGAGCTCAGACACTGCACGTGCTGTGCTCTGCCTCTACTGATCCAGGGTCTGGAATCCTAGGTCGTAGAAATTCAGCCTTTCTGTCTGTGGTTAAACTGCGCCACCTGGCGGGTCTGATCCGAAAACCTGTTCTTTGCATTCATTCACTTCTTAGCTGAGCAGTAAATAGAAAGCCACTTGCCTGGTGTCACATCATGATCTTTAACAAAGAACAAATTTCGATTTTTAATTTACAAATCATAGATTTATCCCTCACTGGACACACCAAAGACCAGTAAAGCTTATAGATTTTTTTCCATCTGTTTATAAAGCAATACTGTATTATAAAGAATTTAATATTTTTATCACATGCTTGAGAATTTTGGGTTTTTTTCTGTTTGAAGATGTGCACTCGAAACATATCAGAACCTGATTTCTTCCTATGAACTTAAGCTGTCTGCGCACAACCAATATTTGGAAAATAAAAACAACAGGGCCCATGTACTCAAAGTGACATTACAACGATGCCTAAAGTCGCGACACTTCCTAGGAGTTAAATTGTGGTGATTAGTCTCGAAGGACACGCTGGAGGGATGCTCCTAGGTGTGTTCGTTTTGATTTGAAAATGTTGGATGGTGAATGAGCTGACTGCCAGCTGCGGGAGGGGACTTTGCTTTTATCAAGAATCGCTTGGTGGGGAAGAATGATCTAAAGAGAATGAAACATCTTTGTATAGTAGTAATTCATCATGCCAAGTCATGTAAGAGCGGCTGCAGGACTTTGCTATAACTGTGTGTGTAGGTGAGAAGGGCTAGGATATAATAGTACAGTTATATACCTGTGGAGGGCTTGAAAAGTCTGTGGTTTCTTGCCACTCTTTCATAGCTGTCTTTGGGAGAACTGCAACATCCAGGTTCCCTTGAGATTTGCTCTTTGCATTTTTAAAGAAGTGATGGCTATTGGGGACCATATTGAATGAAAAAACCATCTGGAGGGGGCAGGGGTGTAAAAATGTAGCAAAGAAACAGCAAGTATTTTGCTAATGGGTAATGTTTTTTTTTTCCTTAATGGAAAACCAGATTGTACATGTAGAAATTGACTGTGTGGAGTAGTTTCTGACAAAGATAGCTGAAATAATGAAGCAAATCTGAGTCTGTATCTAATGAGGATGCTTTTGCTAAATGAGACTATCATTACCTTTGCTTACTTAAGAGGCAATTATGTGAATTGGATGTCTGAAGAATAACTTATGCAGGAATAGTTCTGTAAATACATTTAAATGAACTGTAAAAAAATATTTAATAAATATAGTATTTATACTAAAACGCGTGAAATGACAATTGCAAGAAAAAAATCCACTTCAAAACTGGTCACTGGACTTTTGTCTAAGGCCCAGCTGGACAAAGCCTTAGCTGGGATGATGTAGTTGGGGCTGGTCCTGCTCTGAGTAGGGGGCTCAACTAGATGCGACCTCCTGAAGTCCTGTCCAACCTGAGTATTTTTTGGTTCTATGACTGAGTCCCAAGTTCTGTGTTTATATGTTGTTTGGCTTTCCCTAGCTCCGTTACCCTGAATTTACTTTAGTATAAGGAAAAACATAATAAGGAAATGAGTCCTCAGTAGCAGTCCAAGAGCCAAGAGAAGTGATGCACATCTGAGAATATAGTGTGCAATACAAAGCAATATTTAATAGGAAATTCAAAGAATGTCTTGCTGGGGTGATTGACACCACGACTTTGGAATTGCACTTCAGTAAGAAATTCTAGTCTCTCATCCCTTTTCTTGACACAGGTGTGGACTGCTCACTAACAAACCATTTGGCAGGCCAAAATCCAACCGTTAAAACAACAGTGTTCCATGTCTTGGGGTCTGTACATCCCAAAGTAATTTTCCTAAGTTCTACAGTACAACAAACTGCTGCACTCCAACCTCAAACCTAGATGTAAAGGACCCTGTCCATAACGTCCAAGGGACACTTGACCTGATCGTTGTAACGACATGCAAATCTGCCTGACAGACTGAAGCACTGATACTTCACAAAAATGTCCATCAAAGTGCTGTGCAACAACATTTTTCATGGAACTTCTCTGGCACTAATTGAAGATGCGTGCTGCTTAGGTACTGCCCATATGCCTGCCTAGTATCAATGTACAAATCCAACTAATCTATTATTCTGCTGTCTTGAAAAGACAGTTGTGTGCTCATTCTCCTGCAGTGATTTTTTTTCTTACTAAAAGGACGATAGGTCTGGTGAGGTGGCTGTTTTGAGTGAGGCTGCTGAAAGTAACTAGCTGTTACCACACTAAAACAGCCAGACTCCTGGTTTGTGTTGGGAGAATGGGGAGGCCACCATTTCAAAACAGAAGAACCATCTCCTACCTGACTGCATCACACTTGCTCCCATACAGTGTGTGTTAAATCTGTAGTTTGCAGGTCGTGATTCAATTAAATGGCAGTCCTCCAAAGTTAAAAGGCCGCTTTGTCTTACGTCTGGCCTTGCCAAGAGAGCTTCACATGAATAGTCAGAAGTGGTGGACAGTAGCTGGATGCTCTCGCGTACTAACCCCTGTCCATTCTAGAGCAGGTGGGTATTCTGTAGCTACGGTCCAAGATTCTTAACCTTCAAGCTTTGCCAGTGCTGAGCCCATGAAAAATGCTCTCCAACTACATCTTACACAATGCCTGACACACAACATTATTTACAAATGGTAAAAAACACTTGTGTTAAAAACAGGGAAGTTTGTCATACCTCTAAACTTCCATTAACATTAACAGTTGAAATAGATATTGACTTGCATGCGTTTAACCTGTAAATACAGTAGGAAATTCAAGAATCCTGAAAAGCCATTTAATAGGGTCCTGGCCAGTGCAGTTTCTTTGTGCTTTTTGCAAGCGGGGGCATATGCACAACTGAACCAGCTGGTACTGTTCTTGTGAGAGCTGGCAGTTTTAGCCTTCTGGAGAGTGAATTTTGGCTTAAACCTAGTGATGAATTCAACAACAACTGTTTCTATTCACAGTTTTAATTTGTCATTTAAATATAGTGGTGAAATTTCCATAAGGGAGGTGCACATTCTTTCTAAAAAGAGACAACTCTGCAACAACTTGTTCTAAAACCATTTCTAAAGACTACGTAAGCATCTAAGTAAAGGCTCTGTAGGAACTTCCTCATTGGATGACTGGAGAGAGCTGCCTGTTGTCAAAATCCTCTTCAGTGTCACTAGCTGTTGCCAAACTATGGAACGTGTGGCTGTTGACATCTGGATCGTTAAGTGACACTGCTCCAAAGAACAGGGAATGAAACTGGAAAATGCAACATTTAGAAATGTGAGGGTGTACATGTGAAATGTTCCAGGGATTTTACTTCTGCAGTCTTTCTAATAACACTTCAAATCTCTTTTGGCCTTACAGCAAGCTCTAAAACACATTTGACATCTATGGTTACATTCCAGAATATGATAACGTGCCAGTTGCAGACTAAAAGCAACCATTGTAATTCGGTATTTCAAACCAATTTTTAGAGGCTCTGTCAGCAGTTGAGAGCATACTTGAGTTTGTGCTCGGGTTTGCATTTAAAAGGGGAATGATGTGTTGTTAGCTCCTAATTACTAAAAGATTTATTAATGCTAGTTCAGGAAAACACCAGCTATGCTGATGTACAGCTGTGGTCTGCACAGTGTGCATGAGTCCTGCATATTCTCAGCCACTCACTCAACATAGGCTACACTGAATGGAAGAAGGCCTGGGCAGATAGTGCTACCTCAATCTTTCTGGAAATAAGTTAAATGGAGCAGGTGATTCTACTGCCAGAGGAGTAGGAAGAAAATTAATCCAATAGTGGGAGAAAATGTTAAACTACTCCCTCTCTTCCAGAAGAGGGAAGGAGTAGCTCATCCCGTTAGCAAGAAAGTCTCTCATTTCTAGTACACTACTCAGGTTCTTGAATTTACTATTCTTATCACATTACTCTGGCTGGTAGCGATGACTGTGAATATTCCTCTTACAAATCAGGCTCTGCTTAGAACAACTTACCTGCGTCATGAAAGGCTGCTTTTTCAGGGGATTTCATCGAACAGGGTTAGTCCCACTGATTTGAACAGGTTCCTAATGTAGCTGAGCTAAATTGTATGGTCAAATCTGTAAAGCAGCAGCCAACACAAAGCCCAGCACCTCACTAAATACCCACAGGTGTGGGCCCTTCTAGGTAGTCATCCAAGGAATTTTGCAACAGAATTGGAATTTTAAATAAGCTTCCCAACTTGGTTTTCTTGAAGTCATTAAGTGACTTGAGCATTCGCTATATGGGAGATGTTTCCTTTATTCTGGCAACTTTTAATGCTCATTCTGCCCTGAACTGCCCGATTCATCTCAGTCATGGAGCAAGGGAGTCTGTGATTCAGCAGAGCTTATAGCTTATTTTTCCACCCAAGGTATTATGAAAGTCAACATTTCTACTACAAAATTTGCCAGTTTGCTGAAGTTTATTGCTTGACCAGTTGTTCTCCCTCTGCTTTGCCAGGACCTGCCTCGGTTGTCTCTTGCTTAGCTTTCCTTAAAAGGGGGAGCTAATTGGATTACAGTGCTTGTTCTTTCTGTAGTTCCAGAGGGACAGGTATCAGCAAGGCGGAGAATCAGGAATGGAGTTCAGTTTGCAGGCAGGGATGGGAGTGGGGAGCTGGGCTACTTGTGGAACTGATTGTTACAACCTCCCCTCTTCCCAAATGCACACTGGGGGTGGACTAGAGGAAGACTATCCTAAAACAGGCCTCCTGGACAACACTGTTAAGTGCTTGGGGACTGCTTGAGGAGTGGCAGCAGTTGCTAAAAGTTCAAATAGTTCTGTCAATTAGTATTTTCAATTATAAGCCACAGGTAAGTGTGAGGGGAAGGAAGAGCACATGTTGTATGTACTGTATTAAAACAATGCAGTGGTTCTGCAAAGTACAAGGGGCCTTTTCTACAGTGAGCCCTGAAACTGCACTCCATTACAAATTTAATGCTAAAATGTGGGGACTGGGGTTGCACATACATGCAACTACTAGCCATTTAAGAATATCATTTCTCTTCCTGTCCGGGATAAACCAATTTTTTGTTGGGTTTTGGCTTACAGCATAGGTATGATTTGGCATTCTCCTTACCTTGTGATGATCAGAATCTGTTGGCACTACCGCTTCCACCATTGTGCTGTCACCTGCTGCTTCTCTCCTTGATGGAAGGTTTGGCAATTCTACTGATGACTCTGCATAGTTGCACATACTTCTGTTCCAACACAGCTTTTTTGAAAATATTCTTTCTGAATTACTATTTTTGTCTGCAGAGCTGTTTGGGACATTTTCAGTCTTATCTGCAAAAGCTTTTGTCAAGGTGGACCTGAGGGAATAACAGTTAATTTACAAACCAATTTCTGGATATTGTGCTAGAGAAATAAGAAAATATAGGTTAATTATGTGTTACCCATAACTGATAGGAAGTACAATATAGGTAAAGGTCTAAGAAGGAAATGGGATGCTCCAAGTGTTGGAGAGCTAGCTTTTATTTTACAAGTATGAGGCCATACAGAGAGACAGATACTTAGAATATAAGCAGTTAGTAGGAGAGATTGCTCTTTCCTCATAAATGGTGCTCTGTCTTGGGTCTCATACTGTACTATCAGCTTTTTCTCTTCTGGTGGAGCTGGTTAATCTGAATCTAATCCTCCCTTCTGACCCCTAAGCAATCTCACCTAATATTGGGACAAGAGAATCATGGTTATGAATGCTGTACAAAAATACAAATAGAGTTCTTCATTTCAACCTCAATTTCACTGTAATTGAAAACTTCAAGAGACAAGTAGATTTTTGCTCCTTAGATGAAAAGTCCCCAAAACTCACACCTCAAATTTTGCATTACCTTTTCTGCCTTTGTGAAAGGCACGGAGATTGCCGAGAGATCCCGTGTTCAATGTCTGCTAATGTAGCCAAAACAAAAGTGGCTTCCACCATCATGTCTTCAATGCTGAAAGCAATTGGTCTAAGAACAAAGTTGAAAATTAATCTGCGTGAATATACACATATTTAGGGGAGAGAAGCCATACCTCATATACTTTTAGCCATGTCTTGTGTGTGTGAATATGTGTCCACACAGAAATATCCACACTGGAATGGGTGCTTGATAAATGGAGGATTACTTGTTTATTCACTAGTTAGTGAATGCTATGAGACTGCTTCTTGTTACAGCTTTACATTGCTCCAGTGAGTAAAACCCATGGAATTTTGCTTAAAAACCTGTGCTTAAAATATTTACTACAATTGCTTACACATGTGTACAAGTGCTAAAACTTTTGACTTCTTTCTCTAGATTATTCCCAAGAGAAGTGTGTTGTGGCCTGAACTGCCAGTGTTGAGCACTTTAAACTTCCATGGGTTTTTTAGTGCTTGACAATCTTGAAAAACAGGTCAGTGATGGATTGAATTAAGTAAGCCCTACTCAAGTAAGAGCCTCCACTGTGGCACGCTGGAGGGAAGGGGTGGAATCGTGCTAGATCTAGACAGGTTACAGCGGTGGGCGGATGAGAATAGGATGGAATTCAACAAAGACAAGTGCAAGGTGCTGCATCTAAGAAGGAACCAGCAACACACCTATAGGCTGGGGAACACCCTCCTTGTCAACACGTCGTCAGAAAGGGATCTTGGAGTCATTGCTGACTCCAGGATGGACATAAGCCATCAAAGCGAGGAAGCAGTCAGTAAGGCTAACCGCACCTTGTCGTGCATCTACAGATGCATCACAAGCAGGTCCAAGGAGGTGATCCTTCCCCTCTATGCGGCACTGGTCAGGCCGCAGTTGGAGTACTGCGTCCAGTTCTGGGCGCTGCACTTCAAGAGGGATGTGGCTAGCATTGAGAGGGTCCAGAGGAGGGCCACTCACATAGCCAAAGGGCAGTGGGGCAGGCCCTACAAGAAGAGGCTAAAGGGCCTGAACCTATTCAGCCTCCACAAGAGAAGGCTGAGAGGGGATCTGGTGGCCATTTACAAACTCACTGTGGGGGCAGTGAGAATTAGGGGAGGCTCTGTTCCCCTGGGCACCGCCCGGGGTTACTAGGAATAGCAACCACAAATTGTTAGAGAGCAGGTTCAGGCTGGACATCAGGAGACATTACTTTACAGTTAGGGCTGCCAGGCTCTGGAATGGGCTCCCAAGTGAGGTAGTGCTGTCTCCTAGCTTGGGGGTCTTCAAGAGGAGGCTGGACAGATATTTGGCTGGGGTGATATGACTGTGTTACCCATTCCTGCCTAGGGCAGGGGGTTGGACCTGATGATCTGTTTAGGTCCCTTCTGACCCTAAGCACTATGAAATACTATTCAATGTTTGTATGACCACTTAACTAAAAACACAGCATTTTAATTCCCCTTCAAGACCTATTGGTTATTTTAAGGGGTTATTTTATATTTGATATAGCAACTAAATTAAACATACATTAATATTGTATTGGTTCATTCAAAAACTTACTTTCCAGACACATCAAAGTGAATCGAAACAGGAGCAGTAGTGGCCTCTGCAAACGCGAGTAGTCCCTAGAAATAGAAAGGCTTTAAGACAGCATTAATAAAAACACCAGTGATGGCAATGAGCTAAACTTGATCTGAGCCTTCAAGACGCTGAGAAGCGATCAACCAAAAATGTTATATTACCCTCAGTTCTTTAAGACAAAATGTTACTTCAGAGTCTACTCCAACTTGAAAGTAGTCAAATTCCTCTGGATGAAGCTGTATCTCAGTGTGCATTGCCTTTGAAAAATCTGTTCAAACATTAGCAGAAAAGCAAAGGTTAAAACACATGAGATAAAATCCTGGTCCACTGGAACTGATTTTTAAAGTATTTTCAGTCAAATATGAAGCTATAAGCCATTTAAAAATAAATGCTTTGAATATTCCAAGACTTTTTAAAGCAACCTGTATTTTTTTTTGATGTGTGGTGCAACTGCAGTCTGTTATGCACACTCCCAATGACTGTGTTGTTCACAGGGCATTCATTATAACTGTATTTTCAGCTGTTTATTTCAACAGGTATTAAAGTTAATGTAAAGGCCTCATGAGAAGTGAGGTTTTTTAAATAGTTGTCAACCCCTTTGATGAAGTATATCAGAGGCAGACAGTGGCAAAAAAAGGCTTTTAAAGCAGAAAACCATTAACGTTGTCTATTACTTGTGCAATATTCCTAAACATTTCCAAGCCCCATTGCCAGATCTGTCCCTGCCACACCTACCAAGCGTGCCAGATTGGGCCCACTGGTAGGATTCAGCCCACAGATGGACCTGGCACTGCCCATCCAGCCTGTGGGATGAAAAGGTTGGGCACTAGTGATGCAGAACATGGCCTAGGATGTTTGGTGAAGCAAATATTCAATGGAAAAAAAAACAGTAAGTTGTCTCCTTTATCCTCCCTTTTTTTTTTATCTTCCTTTTTCTTCTATATCTTGATATACCTTTCCTTAGTGTTTTCATTGTTTGTATTTTTCCTTAAATCTTTTGTAATTGCATGTTTCTAAAACTTCCTCTTTCTGAGAAATGTTATTTTCTCTTTTGGTCTGATTTAGTTTCCTTGTTCACTCTGCTACTTGATCCTCTCTGCTTCTATAGCCCCATCTCTCCATCCTCCTCCAAAAGCTTCTCTCTCTCTCTGTCAGTTTACTATCATCAATCAGCCTTGCCTATTACAGAAGGAATGCAAACGTTTGGGGTCCTACTCACTCTCCAACTCCAGTGACAGGTATTTTACAGATGGAGCGGGGCGAGTGGCAATGTATTTATGAACCCCATCTTCAAATTGCATGTTGATTGATTACCTTGTAGTCCCCTCATGGCAATGTCCAACAATGGTGTTAAGCTAGCTACCATATAACACTGCTGTCGTATACTAGCATTCAGAAGTATGCTCTCTACCCGCGATGGCTATTTATAATGATGGTATTTATATTAAACTATTTGTGTAGTTTTTCCAGTGCAAAATTATTTTCCACCTTCTCCTTTCCCAGTCTTTTTTTGTTTGCTACTAAGCTAAAATAATTATCATAGTTCAGGCCTAAAGCAAATAACTTGAATTTAGATGTACTGCTCTGCCTGGCATCTAATTTTGATGCAAAAAAGAGTCTGGCTGATTACAGGTTTTCCTCAAACTTTCTAAAAGTGGAATTTTTTTCCATTTTCCTTTCCTGACCTGTTCCCTGTCTTGAAAGCCTCTTCCAGCCACATAATAACATTTTCCATTGTGCTTTAAATGTACTTTATTACATGAATTTAAAATGACCTGTCAGCCTTTACATTATAAGTTAATTCTTACCTCTCTCCTCCTCAGTATAACTCTTAAAGCACACTTTCATTGGAGTAATAGCTAAAGTTACTTCCTCTTGACAGGTTGGAAAATGAATCATGATATCAGCCAGCAGCCTAAGAAATTTTGTATAAAATCTTAATGTAATTTTAAAGACTATAAGTTACTATCTAGTATTTATTCTTCATATTAGTTATGAAAATTAGGTCACTTTGTCACAACATTTTAAACTTCTTTCAAAAGGAACATAAAGTTGTTGTTTGCCACACTTAAAATGTTATCAACTGTATTTTCATTGTAAGTGTTAATAAATATGATGATTTTAATCTAACCAGTAGTATAATTAACATTACATCCATAAATTAGGATAATTAACATTACTATTTATGAAAATGTACTTTGGTATTTTTGTTTAAAGTTAATTTGGCAGAAGACATGGCTGCTTTATTAATGTTTTTTTTTTAGATTTTCCAACATTATTTCTGCAACTCAATTTTTGGTAGAACACAAAATAATATTCAATTTTGGTTTGTTCAAAGTTTACAATTAATGGGAATGCAGGAATTTTACTTTTAACTGGTATCTCTACACTTTAATTGTTACTTTGTTTGTCATATATATTTCTTTTGCAGTCAGTATGTGAATATCACATGTAATGGAATCTTTCCTCCAAGAAACCCTTCATTTTTTCTCACTTCCAGTGACTCCTTGTTGTAGCTGTAGAAACCTTCCTTCTAGAAATGGAAAACTGGGAGACAGCCATCTCCAGAATGCTTCAGCATGGCTTCCTGAGTAGATTATGTTCTAGACTTCAATGGGGTTACTCGCACCATATCACACATGCTTCTGGGGGTAATAACTGTCTCTTCACAGTTTTTTTGTGCATCTCTACAGCATTTATCACAATGGAGTTCTGATCCTTGATTGGTATCCCAAGGTATTATATAATACTGTAATATAAATAATAATAATAATAGGTGGGCAAAAATCCAAACCTATAAATGATCCCTGTCTCCATTTGTTTTACCCTGGCATGCTTTGCTGCAAGGTGTACATTGAAAATGGACAGAAGATTATTACAGATTAGTTATTAAGACCTTTGAAAACATTCCCGACTACACAGTCGGTTATGTCAATACTGCCTCTTTAATAGTACCTTTTAGGAACATTTTAATTGCTGTTTTTTATTTTTTATTGTTTACATAGTCAAATATGATGCCTTCTCCATCTTGGCAAAAATATATCCATTTTACACTATTGGCTGGTTTAATTTTTAAAAAGAACTCAGGGGAACAATTAATGGATTTGTTTTATCACTTCTCAGGTGTATTAAACTGATATACAATATATTATATATTTTAATTGTCTGCACATGGTTGTACACAGACTCACTCTATGCTCAGCAGTCTAAACATTTGGATCTCATGCCGGGGGGACCCTGTCACACCCTACTATGCACTTACAATTATTTTCAGATTATACCTCAGTTATGTTTTGTGGTTTGATAGGACTGTGCTCCTCTAGTAGCTGAACAGTGAGATTAAGAATTTCAAAGCAATCTAGAGAATGTAGATCCATCTAACTATCCAGGTGTACCCCTACTCAGAACGAGCTAATGCTGTGTAAGCATTCTGTATCACCACAGTTCCAATATTTCATGCATTTACTGTGTATATTGTAAATAATATATGTTCATTACAGTTATGCCATCTGTTAGCAACATGTGTAATTGGGTCTTTAATATAACCATCTGCACAATGCAGCCAGCTACACTCCCTCATCCAGTCTCAGACTCTTTTAATTAGCTTCATTCTCAAACATAAATTATAGTCTGGCCAAAACTCCCATCCTCTCTAACCCTAGGCTGATGGGATACCATAGCCTGATGTGTCCATGCTTATCTGTCAAAGCACAAGATGCTCTGCCTCCCCTTTCTTTCCCCTGCTCTGGAAAGCTCTCATGTTTGTGACCCACCCCAATTAGCACACCCTAACCTCTCACCTGAAGCCAGCCTTAATCAAAAAGGACTAGATGCTCCCTGGTATTACACAGCTCAGCCACAAAGGGAGAGCCCGGATTTAAGTAGTGGTTATGGTGAGTAAAGTGACTGTGCACAAATGGCCGTCTTACTCAGTAGAACTTTTGAGTGAAAACAGTCAGAATTTACTTTCTAATAAAAGTACATTTTTACCAGCATTTATTTTTGTTACTACAGAACAATATTACATAAGAATAAGGCAATTCAGAGCTCTCTCATCAACAGAAGTGTTAACCGAATTCAAGTACAGAATCTTTATAATATAGATAAGTACAGAGCCAAAAATAACCCTGTTTAAATGTTCAGGTTTTGAATGGGGATTGTAGCAATGACTGTGTAAAAAGAAAAATCACAACAGCCTTTTATTTGTTTAGATGAGCTAAATTAATTTGGAAGATGTGGAGAAACTATAAGTAGTAACACAATAACAACCTTTTATATAGAACCACTTAATAGAGTAGAAATGGCATTCTAGACCTCACCCAGAGACAAAGTGGGCCAGGACCAAAGGCCCCAAACTGAACTAGAATTCAGTGTAGCTCATCAAACTTTAGCTGTTACTATGTTTAATTCAAGATCCCTGAATATTTTTGTTCCTGGTTCCTTTAATCAGAACCTGATTCCCATTAATGGCTAAGTGCATTTCATTCTGTATGGTTATTACTATAAAGAATATATTGAGTTTACTACCTTGACTGGACTTTCAGTATGTTAGGACACATATGCTTTGCAAAAACAGCTTGTAAGGGGTCACATTCTTGAAAAGTCAGGTTATGGGTTTTTATAACACCTAAATACAAACAAATGTACAAAAATTTACATGTTTGCATGTTATCTTAAGCTTAACATTTATTAATTAATTTTAATTTCAGTTAACAAAAAAATAATCAGTTAAAGAACCCATCCTCTTCTTCCATTAATATCTTCCTAACAGCAGAGGAAATTTAATTAATTTAAATTCTGTTCACTAGGAATATCTTTCATTGTAAAAGCTGGAGGTTCAACTTCCAAAAGTTGGATCTCTCAAGATTTCTCTGCAACTTAGGTGATTTGCAAGAAGCAAGCAGCAGGCTAGCTTGATTCTGCAGAAAGCAACTGACGGTTGGAGTTTGCCAGAAAGGCATAATTAAACCCTTAATGTTTGGCTGGTACAAAGATCATTAAACAAAGAAACAAACAAACAAAAGCGCCTCAAAAGGTGTATAAACGTTTACATAATTACCAAGATCTATGCCTTTAGACATACACTGTGAGGATACCAATAGAAATTAAGAATTTATCATCTGATGGACTGCATCTCAAAGAGATCTGTTTGTAACAGATAAAAATTGAATACACTAAAATCTTACTACATTTAATTAAAAAAATAATTATTTTTTATTTGATTTCAAAGTCAAATACTAAATTGTACGAAATAATTGTTTAATAGAAAATGTTAGACCCAGAACTGAAGTCACTCAATTATATATAATAAATATTTGTCATCTTTGTTTATTTAATTAACAAGCGTAAGGTACTTAATGCTATACAACGTCATTTTATATTTAACCTACCATGCTTGCAGAAGAGCTGAAAAGTTACATGACAATCATTGACATTTGTATAAATGTTGCACTTCTCTACATTCCTCTCTAGTGTGTTTAGACATCTGAATATGGGAAGGACAGACTATAAGAAAAAGTGCATTAATAAAGCAATGTTCCCATAAAGCAATCCACAGAATTCAGCTTGTCACTTACAAAGAAGAATATAAACAATAACATAAAGTAAAAGCAACCAAATAGTATTAATCAAAATCAGTAAACACACAATTACATTAGCAATGGCATAGGAGGTGGATGGATCTGCGAGTTCTGTATATAACAATGTATGTACATTTATTCAATGAAAGCATTTAGAGTACGTCGGTGTCAACCCTTTTAGACTGAGGGCCAAACGTACTTCAGAAGGTCAAAACCCCAAATCAGTATCTTGGGGCTGATTCTGTAGCCTTTTCTCTTGTTTGTGTCACTCAAGGAGCGTAAAGTGAGCAACAATTAATTACCCAAAATATTAAGAGTTTCCTTCCCCAGTAGGTGTGGGGCCAATATAGCCAACTCCTACAATCCTGGGTACAGGGAGCTGTATCAGGTGAGGATAGGGAGAATGGTTGGGATGTGTTGCACTCTTGATTGCTCCAGCTCCTACAAGTCTAGAGCCTGCTCTAACCTGGGCTGGGTTAGAGAATCGGGAGCCTTATCTAATTCGTTCCTAGTTTATCTGTTCTTTTGGGCTACCTTACATGGCTGCGTGGTAAAATCCTTTGCCGAGTATTCCTAATCTTTAACAGATGCTAGCAAGCTCCTACCCTGCTCTCCTTATTGTTTTCACAGGCCAAAGGCCAAGTGGACACTAAAGAAACCAGTGATTTTCTCCTTCCTCCACTATAGTGCAACAGGAAATGACCAAGATAGATTACTGAGCAACTACTTGGAGTGCTCCTGGCTTGCAGCAAACCTGCTTTTGGGGCTACTGCCTGCCTCTCCAGCACGATGAAGCTGATTTAAAAACATGATACACCCAGGGAAGCACATATATAATAAGTGAATGCTAATTTTCTTCTTAACATAGTTATCTTTGAGGACCAAAGTTTAGAGCTTCAAAGGACTTCTGCAAGGAAGGAATTCCACCCAAATGCAGTAATGTGTCATCCTATTGATTTGAAACTTTAACTGATCTTCTCCTTAAAAAGTATATTTACTAATCCACTAACATTTACCTTCATTACTAATTTACAAGGAAAGTGTAATTGTCTCTCTCCCTGATGCACCTCAGACACAGTCACGCAGCAGTAATGTTGAAAAAACATAGATGAAAAGAAGACACATGCATATGCTGACCTAGAAGAATTCACCGATCTTAGAGCAAGCTGAAAATATAAATTAAGATGTAATATTTTATTCATACAAAACTGCAACAGACCAAGCTGCAAATAAAGCCCCAAATATAAAAGGGCTATTTAAAACTTTACTCTTTGCTTATAACTGCAAAACACTTTATACAATAGTAAATATAGATGGATGCAGTCACGTACAGAAACATTAAATTTCAAACTAATCAGTTTTTGCAATGTTATTACTAGTGAGACGTGGCTGATGTTATCTAGATACTATGGACCCGATCTAGCAAAGCTCTGAATTATGTGACTAGTCCAATTAATGTCTCGAGGATTGCTTACATGCTTAAAGGGCAGGTCTACACATGCGCTTTGATGCGCATGAGTCCATTTTAATGCACATTAAAGTGTCACAAAAAACATGCACTTTCACTAATGTGCATTAAAATAGGCGAATGGGCCTTTTTCTAGCATCTCACAATGGAGGTACTAAAGTTAACGTGCATTAGCAAAAGCGCATTTAATAAGCATGTAGAAGCAGCCAAAATTTGTAAGGGCTTTTTGGGCTGGTGGCTGCAGAAGCAAAACCAGATAGTTCAAGCCCTTTTAGCCAACATGCAGCAAAATGGTCATGCATGGGGTTCTTTAACACTTGATGTTAAAGTTAGTCTACTGTGCAGTATAAAAAACACAGTCTCTTAATTGGTGATCAGAAGCCTTGCTCCATACCATCACAAACTACGACCTCCGATTCAGGAGGTGACCTTCTTTCCTTTGGGTTAGAACTGAGTCGATGCCAGCATATTTTTTTTAAGAGGCAATTTCAGATGAGATATCAAACTGATGCCCTAACCAGATGTAATGGTTAAAAATCTATGGCTGTACGGTAATGCCGATACCTTGAACCATCTCCAGTTTAAATCAAAATTAAAAGAAAGTAGGAAGAAGAGAGTAAGAATGTTGTGCCCCAGCTCAAGTCTGGGATCGTGCCCGGTATGCAAAAGCCAATAAAGATACCAGGGGTGAAAGTATAAAGATTTATTGCTAGCAATACAAGGTGCAAGCGGAATAATTTCACGTAACAAGCACACAGATTCTTAATTATGAGCATCTTTTATACAGGAGTATTGGACCTTCATAAGCATTCTTGTTTGCTAATTGGTTATAAGGGAGTGACGCAAGGAGTTCTTTACTGAGCATGTCTCTATACCTGTGTTTTAGCTATGTATCTCATTTCCATACATGTATGTTTCATTAGCATACTTTCTCCCCACCTCGGGGTGTGAATCTTAATATTTAAATCAGCTCTTTGCCCTACTCCACTAATTCTGGTTTTGTTTTCAAGTCTCCTTTATCTAAGACTGTCTTCTCCTTATCATTGCAATTGAGCATTAGTTACAGAACAGAGACTTTTGCTTGGGCTTTGTGTAGTGGTTTCTAGGTCAAACCTAACAAGAACAGGGGTGAGACTTTTTTTTTTTTTTTTTTTATCGGAACTGGTATCAGAAAAGTCTCACCCCTGTTCTTATGATCATCCTCCATTTTTTGGCATCTTAACTACTTAAGATGCCAAAAAATGGAGGACGATCATTTCAAAAGTTGGAGGGGCAAGGAACAGAGCATGCCGCACGCTGCAGATTTTGGAAAAACTCCAACAAACTGTCAATTAATACAAAAACATCCGTTCCCTGCTCAAGGCTACTCAATTAAAATCAACGGACTTACCCCTTTTTCAATCGGGTCAAGCCAAAATTCATCACTAATACGGGCTATGGCATGTATAGCTCTTCCAAACACTGTTAGAGAAGACAGAAAAAAAGGGCGCAATTTACACCCGCTATTGGTTAAACGATAGGAGAGCGATACGACACGGCCTCCAGACTACCTAACGAGATGGAAAAGTTTGTCTTTTCCTTGCACCCATTTTAAAGAAACCTCCCGATGCGATCCAGAGCACCGAGGTGCAGTTTAGTTTCACGTGAAGCGCATTGCTCAGACAAGCGAGACACACAAGCGTTTTGAAAATTTGTGACCGATCGATAGGTATTGAGGATGCCTCGATGGATAGGTATCGGCACGCAGGCCTCAGACGTCAAGGCAGGGGCCTGACGGGGAGCGGGGACCCTGCTGCTGCCTGAGTTGGATGGCAGCCTGCAACCTGCCAGTTTGGTGTAAGCCATTGGCCCCCATTTTACAGCAGAGCTGAGGCAGCCCAGGCCCCTCAGCACCCATGACTAAAGCAGAGCCATGGCCCACGCAGGCAGAGGGGTGTTTTCAGAGCACGAGGCGCAGATCTCCACATCACATAGTGGGCACGAAGGACCACAGACTAGCCCCAGATTTCAGGATCTGGCTTCTCTCTAGAAGGCCAAGCCCCCATTGTGGCTGCCTGCCTGGCCGCTCAGGGTCTACCTCGCAGGTGAGGGCCCCCCACAGCGCACTTCATGGCGCCTCAGAAAAGGGCGGGAAACCCGCGGGGGCGGGGCCTGCGCAGCTCCTCAGGGCGCCCGGATGTTGCGCACGCAGGGTAAACGCGCGGCGACGGGGTTTGACTCGGCGCGGCCGCCGTCGGCAGCACTTCCGGCAGCACTTCCGGG